GGGGGGCATGTTGCCATGCACTCTAACACACAAAAATGCATATTACATGCGTTTTTCATGTACTCCTATTCAAATCTATGGAGCTGAAAAAGCACTGCGTACCACCAAAAGAAGCACCCGCACCTTTGAAAAAAATTGCACTGCAGATGCACCATATTGCATAGGTGTGAACGGGAACCAAACAGATTAATATGATTGTTATTGTCATGCACTGTAGCACAACAGCAGACATACGTTGAATTGCACTAGTGTGAATGGAGGCTAAGCATTAATAGTACAGTCTGCAAAAAAACAAAACACATTTTTGTGCACTGTGGGAATGTATTATTTCATGTGCATTCCCCTGTCATATAGGTGTGAATATAGGCTTAAAGGAGAACTATGAGGCGAGTGCTTATATTCTGACTCCGATTGTTGTGATAGCGATTTATCCCTTGTGAGACCTCTATGCCTGGCCTGTATAAGTAGATTCAAGCACTGCGGACATTCATTGTCAGATAGCTGAACTCACCAATACCGTTTCAGACAACAGGATACAGCAGATGGATGGTTTCCAGTATTATGCGGTCAAAAGATGATGCCTTTCCTAGCGTACTATGCAGAGTACATGCAGAGGCGGCTCTAGACTTTGTGAGGCCTTAGGCGAAACTCAAACATGAGGCCCCCACTTACACCCATATTGAAAGACAATGCAAACAATAATTAAAAATGAACTGTATACATTGCATATTGTAAGACGAGCGTTTAATCCCAGCAGCCAGGAATTTACAGCTTCTAGAGCTAGAATCTTATTTCTGTCTCATATCTAATTCTACCAACAACTATACGCAAAACCATAACCGTAAGGAAGTAACATGCAGAGGTCAGATTAAATCAACAGCTGCTACGGTCTCAGTAGATGCATCTGAGAAGATATGAAGCTCTTTCCTCTGACTGGTAGCAAGGGAAGCTGAAGTGTAGCAGCTTGGTATCTGAATTTCATGTAAGGTATGTAGAGATTGCCGTCTCTGTAAGTATTTACCTTGTATGGTGTTGGGAGCCACAAATCCCACTGGATCGTATAGGCCGCTCACCACTGACAGAACACCACGCTTGGTGAATGGCTTGTCTGCAGAGCTGACTTGAAAGCTGAAGGTGTCTTTTAATAAGCCCCATTGTAGGCCCAGACTTCTCTGTACAGGTGGCATGTCCATTCCCAGATTGAAGTCTTTGAACCCTATGGCATGATCGCCAGGTTGAAAGGCTTTCACAACAACAGCATTGTTTGAGACATTCTTATGGAGTCTAAGGTTGGTTTCAGAAAGCATACCTTCAGCCTTTGGTAGCTGGTCTAATGCTTCTTCATGAAGAGGAGAATCATCTTGCACGATGACTGGTGTAGAAGACTCCGATGATTTTCCAGAGAGGTTCACTGCTTGTGGAGTCACTGGAATGATGCTTGAGGAGTCCGGTGCGTTGTCCTGGGTGTTTGCATCAGTGGATTCCTGCTCGTCCGAGCTGCTGAAGGAAATCTGGTGCGTATTCTTACCAGAACTATTGCAGGGTGGTGTTGTGATGTTGTCTTGGTTTACCTGTACGATGATCTTGTTGGAGCATACATCACCTGAGGCTTGAGGTTCGCAATCTCGTTTGATTCCAATAAGTACCCAACCTAGATCAATCTTTTGGGCGTAAGGATCATCATTCCAGCCATTGTGCTGCTGACGTACCTTATGTACTCTCAGGATGTCTCTGCCTAAGAGAAGCATTATTTTGGCATCGTTGTCCAGTGGTGGGATGCAGCCAGCTAAATGTTTTAGGTGAGGTTCACGAAGTGCATCCTCTGGTGTAGGAATTTCCTCCTTGTCGTAAGGCAACTGATTGCACTCAATGAGACTAGGAAGATCAATTATCTCCGTTCCTTTTATAGGAGAAATCGCAAACTCAGCATAGGTGGTCCTTCCTGTGAGTTGCACTGTACCAGCACAGGTGTGCAATGTGTAGTATAGCATGTTACCCTTTATGCCGAATAAGTCAAAGAACTCTGAAGTGGTAAATGAGTGACTGCTTTGGTCATCTAAGACTGCATACATCTTGATTGCCTTTTCAGGTTGTCTTTGGCGAAACACCTTGACAAGAACTATTTTTGCAAGAGTCTTTCC